TCTCTTAATGACATTAATGTCACTGCAACGGACCTCAGCAGCTCCATTAGCAGTAACTGTAATGATAACTGATTGCTATTATTAGTTACCTTATTGTCATCCTCTGTTTCAGTGTAATCTAAATAGCCATGGTCAGGATCAGAATTGCTCTTGGTCTCTGATGGAAAATGGATGACATGTTACATGATGTTACTTAGTGCATGTTTGATTAGTTCCCTGTACATCATTGTCCTGAGCCTGGTAGCCTGGCGTTTAACTTTCCTTCTCTTTGATCTCTCTTCCTCTTCATTAACATTAACGGTTATGAGCGGTATACTGCAAAGTGGGTTTGCTGACTTTACTTATGAATTTTCCATGCTGTGGATCATAGCTCAGTTCTGAATAGAGTATATTACCACGGTCATTTACACGGCACACCTAGCCTGCTCAGAGTGGGTTTACTGGCTTTACTTATCAATAGAGATCAGACAGGACAATCCTGATCATAGCAGCTCCTATGACTGTGGGTGCTGCTTCCATGGTTTCAGTTAGTGGAAACAACCTTCTTACCCTCAGCATGAGCTCTTGGTTACCTGTCCATGTTCTCAGTGGAGGGGGATTTTTGCCATCTGAGGAACTGTTGTAAGGGGAAAGGCCTAGGAAGCCCCTACAGCGGGTGAGACTTCTAGGATTTATGCTGCAAGTACCCAAAGAGGCACTGTAGTGGTGGTCTAATACATACAGTGGATGGCCATAAACAACCTCCTCAAAAGCCAGTTCGATTTGGTATGGCCATAAATAACCTCCTCAAAAGCCAATTCGAGTTGGTATGGCCATAAATAACCTCCTCAAAAGCCAATTCGAGTTGGTATGCCTTCCATGATGCTGCAAACCCTCCTTTGCCAGCATTAGAACAGAGCAAGTCGGTCAGAGAGGATGAAATGTACTCCAGTGTCATGTAGGAGTCTAACTAGCCCACAATCAGGACTGTCCTGGTTAGGCACAATGACTGGATAACTGGAAAACAGGCTGTCCAAGGCAGGAACATTAAAGAAGTCCTCAGCCCGTAAGATGTAGGGTATTCCCGTTAACTTGTCAAAGTTTGTGACATATTTCAGACGTGAATACAGCTGCCCCACCAACTTCAGGCAGACATCCTTAATATGCTCTATATATTCATTTGCAGCATTTAACATTGCCAATTTTGTCGTCTCATGCTGTAAATCGCACACCACAATGATTCCACTCACTGGGTGCACAAACTTCAGGTTAAAATGGCAATGTGGAGAGCTGATGTACATTTGCACAAACCTCAATGGAATCTTGGCAAAGATGTCAAGAATTTGATGCTGAAGGTCAAAAAGGCGTCTGCATGTTTACAGTTTCATGCATCCCAAAACCACTGTACAAATTGCAAGAAAGGCCTACTAAGTTTTGAAGTCCAAATCGGGACCACAGGAGGTGCATACTTTTATCCTTTGCATTAATGTCACAAGCAAAGCGCACAGACATTGAAGACACTTGGTCTCTGTGAACAAAGTACAGATACAAGCAATGATCTTGTTTCTGTCCAAATCTTGTGATAGAAGGTACAATCACAATGTGCTCATCATGGGTATTGGCATGCGTAAAAGCACGCTGGACAAGGGCTAATATAAATTCAAGATCTTGCAATAAAACCTCGAATTTGGAAGTTTTGGCAGCCACTCACGGTCCTCATGGTCCGAGAACCGCTGGTCTTCCAGCCTTCCTTTACCTGTGAGCCAGGTGTAAAGCCTCTGACCAATCAGAATCAGTAATTA